ATTATTTTTAGCTTTTAATTGGCAGTGATCTGTACTTGGAGCTGCGTAGTGTCGAGGACTCTTCTTTTTTTTTGTGCTCTCAAGAAGCTTTCCTTTATCTTTCATCTGGATGCAGCTGTGTTTCTCTTTTGCTCACAAAGTGCAGAGTACATGGGGGGGAAAAAACAACTCCAAGTGACCATGCCAAAGGCTTGTGGAGATCGGGGCTCGGTGCAGTCAAGCCTCCATGGCCGGTAGCAGCATCGTACCCATCTAGCAGTGGCGGCTGGTCCGGGACACCTGGACTCTGTTCCAAAAAAAACCACCACGAACCTGCTCCCTGACCTTCACCAATCACCTCCCTGCTCTGGGCCACTATTTTTTTTCCTCTTCTTCCCCTCTTTTGTCTTGCCCCATTTAATTTTGGGCAGGAACAGTGTGTGTGTGTGTGTGTGTGTGCCTAAAGGGCCTAGAACAATGTGCCCCAGATGGTATTGTACAAGTCCTTTCTCAGCAGCCACAAGGTTTCACTATACAGGAAAGAAATTTTTAAAAATACAACTTTTCAGTATTTTATACTTGCAAAAGTGGCCAAGAACTTCCGACCCTTGATATTTCAGTCCAAGTCACAGGTCTCGGAGACAAAGGCTTGCACTAGAAGCACAGCTTTTTCTTCTTTTTTTAAATATTTTTTTTTTTTTTTTTAAATCAACCACCCCCTACCCCCAAGCCCTTTTTCTCACCCTCACGACTGCAGGGAAAAGCTTGTAAATGTGACTAGAGCAGACCTTGTGTGCTCAAAACCAGATGGCAAATAAAAAGAACACAGTATTTCAACAAAAACATGAACCCCTTCTTTGGGTTTCATATGATTGTTTGTGTGTTTGCCCCCTTTATGGTACTTTCAGTCCCTTTGTGGTTCTGTTTTGGGGAGGTGCTGAAGTCACTTGCACTTGTCTGCAGTTTATTTCACTTTCAGGTTCCCTGGCTTGGAGCACTTGCATTGCAAACACTGCAGGGCGGTGCTGATTTGTTTTAAGACCATTGCTTGCTTTGGAATTTTTTTCTACCAAATTTCAGGCCAATTTATTTTTCTCTTAGTTGTCCCCCTTCCTCCCAAAGAGAGAAAGAAGTTTTCTTAGTCTCATCTTGCATCAGAATTGATACCAGGCCAACAAAACCAGTATAGAAGATGCCTTTTTGAGGCTGCTTGCCTCCATGTGACCTTCTGGGTGAGGATTCTGGTTCGAAATTCAACAATGTGCTGACAGGTTTATCAGAGGCATCTTCCCCGTGGTGCTGCTACCCTGGGGTGGCAGGACGGCGCAGGTCTGGGTCTCTGTTGCCCATCCAGAGGCCGCTGTGTTTTAACCAACACAGGTTTTGGAGGGCTGTTTGTTCCAGAGCAGTGGGAGTCCTGGGATTTTACCAAAGGTTTCTGTTTCTAATTGGGTTGTTCTCAATTTTAAAGGCCAGACATCCCTTTATGGCACGGAGTGGAAAACCTGACCAGTCACTGGCACCGCACAGAGAGGTGGGTCCTGCTTTTGTACCGAGGTACAGAAGCTGTTACCTCTCCTTGGCACTCTACGGATGCGAAAATAGATTCCTCCCAGCCCTCAGCTGCCCGTGGCTCATCCACGGGGGACGCTGGTGGGCAGAGTTTGGAGCAGCATCCCCTGCCCTGGCCTGACTCACACGGATGCGGTTCGGTGACTTCCTGCTGCTCTGACCGCCCGGCGTCGGGAAAGAGGGAATTGCAGTGCAGCAGCCGGCTGGCACACAGCCCCGGCGCGGGGGTCGGTGCCGTGGCCTCGCTGGTCATTGCCCTGGCCTAGCTGCCTGGAATCAGGGTTTGGAGCCGGGCTTTTCTGGGGGGGCTGCTCCCAAGGCCAGGGCTTGTTGCACAGATAGGGCTGGAGAGTTGTGCTGTGCTGCTGTCTGGGTCTGGGCTGGGGGAAGACAGCACAGTCTCCCGGTGTTCGCAGGAAACGGTATTTATTTTTTCCCTTCTGTTAGGACTCTGTCTCGCTCCATTGTCTGAAATTCCCTTGCAGAGACAGGCCCATAACTCTTTTAAAAAAATAATCCCAAACGCGGGGGCTGGAGCTCCCTCAGCTCTGGCTGTCGGCCGCCTGACTCTGTGCAAACAGTCTGGGCCTGAAATCCCCTGGGACTGAACATAAAGGTCTGATTCAAAACAAAAATGGGGTATGAAGCAGCGTGGCCTGTGCATCACCGTCTGCCTCCCCTTCCCTGCTGTGTGGCTGGAGCTGTGTCTAGGGAAGGTGCCTCCTGAAATACCTGGGGAGAGCCGTGCTGCTCTGGGAGCTCGGGGGGGTCACAGGGGAATGGCTCCCCGGTGTCCTTGTGGGAGAGCATGAGCTGGGCGGGAGGGCACGGCCATGCGCCGAACCCGGAGCGGAAATTATTGGGGGAGCAAAGAATGAGCAGGATATCACGTGTCAGCCGTGTGCGCCCGGGGCTGGGGGAGAACAAAGCGCAGGGAAGCCCTGCACCGCTGCCGCTCCCACCCCGCTTCCTGCTGGCACGGGACGGCCGCTGGCTGCCGGGGGAATGGAGCGTCAGGCCAGGAGCCGGCTTGCGCCTGCCCGCCTTTGGGGAAACTGGAAGGCTCTCCGTGCCTCGGTTTCCCTTGGCTGAGATGTACTGGGTGCAACAAATGGTCCCCAGGTGTTGGCCTGCCGGGGGTGGTCTTGGAGGGCCAAGCTGCTCTGTGCTGGGGCTGCTCTGGAGGTGTTGGCCTGGAGGATGGAGCCTGTGGGTGAAGGAGGGGACTCCCATCCCCCATGAAAACCTTGTTCCCCGGTACCTGATGAACAGGCGGGTCTCACCAGTGGGTGTCATGCACCCATAACAGCCCCAAGGAGCTGGGCCAGCACCCTGCAGCTCCTGTCCCTCCTGGAGAGCAGCGGCATTTTGCCAGGGTGCTGTGGACGGAGCGTGGTGGGCCCTGGCGAGGATTCGGTGTCAGGCGAGGACTGGGAGCGGAGCAGCCCCCCTGCCCACAGACCCTTACGTGGCGAGTCCTTCCCCTGTGCTGGGCATGGACTTGGGTGGGGTTTTTCCCCCTCTGTTGCTCTTAGACCCTCCCCCATTTCCCCCCATGCACCCTTTAGTACAAAAAGCCTTTTTTTTTTGTTATTAATAGCTATTGAGAGCCAATAAAAAGTTTTATGGGGTTTGGCCAAGCGTCAGGACTTGCCGTGTGCTCATTTCCTGCAGTCTTGAGTGCTGGAGGGGCCGTGGGTTTGCTTGTTTAACCCGCAGGTAATGAGGCCGAGGCAGCAAGGACTCTTGGTGGGTGTCACAGGAGCCCAGAGAGGAGTGGAGGAAGGTGGTGAGAGGGGGAGCGAGGCCAGGGGGGGCGAGCAGGGAGGGATGGAGGCTGCCTCCCAGTTCAGCTCACTCAAAACAGCAAGGGCTGAGCTGGGAGCAAAACCAGAGGTGATGAATGCTGGCGGGAACGCGGAGCGTGCCTGCGTTTGTCGGTCTGTCTGTCCCTCACGTGGCTCCTGCTTGACCCTCTGCGCTTTCCAGCCCCTGTTTAGTGTCCTGGCTGTCCTGCTCCTGGCATGCTCTGGCCACCTTCTCCACGGGTGTCCCTGTGAGGAGGGACTGAGCCCGACCTTCCCCCCCGCCCAGGCAGCTCTGGTGGGAGTCCTGGATGGAGGGAGAGCGTGGCTTCCTTTTGGGAACCTGGTTCCCAGAGCGCAGAGTTGCTTTGTGCTACTTGCGAATCACAGCCCTCTGGGAGGGAGCGAGAGGCTGATGGTGGGCAGGCAGCTGCACGGAGGGGGCTTGTGGGAGGCCAGTGTCACAAAGTCGTTTGGGTTGGGAGGAGCCTTGAAAGGTCACCTAGTCCAACCCCCTGCAGCCAGCAGGGCCGTGGACGTTTGAAGGAGCTCCCTGGCTTGAGCGGCTTAGCTGAGTCCTCGCCTGTTTGTGGGGGCCAAGGGGAACCCTGAATTAACCCACCGCCTGCACAGGGCGTCCTGCCAGCCTCACCGGGAAGTTCTGGGAGCTGCGCACACGAGGCAGGCAAGGTGCTGCACAACCGCTGAGCAAACCAGCATCCACAGCCATCTCACCAGGTGTCAAAGCAGCTTTTGTCCAGGCCGCAGCCAGCAGCCCTGTTCGCCACCGTGCCTTGCTCCCAGCTTTGCAATTAAAATCAAGGTTTGTTTGCGAGAGTGGAGGAAGGTGCGGCGATCAGGAGCTCTCTGCGGAGGCGAGCGGGGTGTTAGTAAGTCCTGGGTTCCTCTTTGCTAGTGTCTGTTTTACCCCAGCCTGGCAGGCTGTCGTGGGAGTCCTGAGCGTGGTCATCCCCCCCCACACGCACAGCTGCTTAGAAGCCGTGTCCTCTCCCACGCGTCCTGGTGCAGGATTGTTGGCACAAAGGTCCCGGCCCAGCCGCAGCAGAGGCTGGTGCTCCAGGGAAGCGCTCTGACTCAGCCAGCCACGGCCTCTGGACCCGCAGGGACCCTCCCGACACGCAGCTGCCTGGGCAGAATATCCTCTTTTCACTTCATAGGAAATTGCACGCTTGGCGTGGTTTGTCCCGTAACACAGTGGCTTACGTGTGTCCTTTGCTCTTGGGGTTTCTCGGCTCTGACCCGTGGCAGCCAGGCCCCAAGCACCTCAGCTGGTGCCTCCGAAAGGTCTCCCTGCTGCCAGCAGCCCTTCCCCATGGGGTCATTGTTCTCCCCATGTGACTCTTTGCTGGCTCCGACCTGGAGATGCTCCTCAAGTTTGTTTGTTCATTTATTTATTTATTTATTTATGCCAGCCATGGGACACCCTGAGACAGTCCTGATAACCCAGCTCCTCCCGCTCCTCAACTGCGACACCCTCCGTTGTGGTGGGAGTTGCCTGTAATGCAGGGAAGGTGTTGGAGGGGCTCTGCAGAGCTGGGGGCAGAAACCTGAAGCCCACAACCCCCCCGTTGTCCTCTGATTCCTCATTTCCTTGTGCTGATTTTCTCCCTCTCCTCTCCACAGCTGGGAGACCGAGGAGACACGCTGGGAAGACCCTCTCTGCAGGATGTTCTCTCCACCAAAGAACTCCCTCTAACAGGCGATGATGACAATCCCGGCAGGACCTTGGAAAGCACTAACATTTCAGTAGCCCAGCACCCGTGGGTGGCCACTTACCCCTTCTTCTCCACGCCCCGCCCTCCCATCGCTCACCGTGATGGTGTATTAACCAAGAAGAGCCCTGCTTCTTTTCTCCTCACCCCTCAACTTTCGGCAGCTCTGGGATTTGTATGGCAGCAGCGTAACCGTGGAGAGGCCGGGGTATCACAAACTTATGGATTTTGATAAGAGAGGAGGGAAAGGGGAGCTGGAGGAAGGTAAAAGGATGTCCAAGACAGGTGGAGGAAGGAGCAGTCATGGAAGCCGGAGTGCTGGAACCAACTCGGGAGTCTTAATGGTGGGTCCCAACTTCCGGGTCGGCAAGAAGATTGGATGCGGCAATTTCGGGGAGCTCCGTCTAGGTGAGAAGGGTCATCTTCTGTCCTCACTGTAACTGCTTGTGCAGGGGTTGCCCTGGCATCCGCCTCCCGCAGCAGGAGGAGCTGGCACATGCCTCTGGCCGTCAGCACCAAGGGTGTTGGCCGGCCACATGGTGTTGAAGCATGGCAGGTAGCTCTTGCTCCTTTCACAGTTTCTTCTTCCTCAGTCCCCTCACGCTCTGCTTGATCCTTCAAAGCCCATCACAGCCCGAAGGACTGATTGCAGAGGTGTTTTCCGTTTCCTCCCCATACCTGTTGCTCTTTGGCTTTGTCAGGGAGAGCGTTACAGTTCAGTCCTGTCTGTAAGAAGTGGTGGTGGCCCACTCAGGCCTGGGTGCCTGCCCCCGCCCCTGTCTGGGAACACTTTGTGAGTCATTTTTCACGAGATGCTGCTGTGCGCTCACCTGATCTCACCCCACTTGCGTGCAGGGTGCTGCCCTCCTGCTGCGCCACGTGCCTCAGGAACAGATGGAGGGTGAGGGCCTGTGGGGTTTTGTCTCTGCTGGGGCAAAAATCTGGGGAAGAGAGTCTGTGTTTCATCCCAAGTAAATCCTCCAGTTGTTGAAACTGGTTGTCTCAGAGACTGTCCTAAAACTTTGTGCAGGGGAGTGAGAAAAGGCTGAATAAAACCCAAACGCCTTCTATGGTCACTCCCATTTTGAACCAAGTTTATCAGGAAGCAGTTCAAGCAAACTCTTGTTTCAAGGGTGGGTAGGTTGCTCCTCTTCCAAGGACTCGACATGCCCCAGGAGGCTTTCAGCAAGCTGTTAACTCTTCGGTTAACATCAGGCGGCTGGGAGAGGCCTGGCAGTGCCAGGCACTGCTGTGCCAGCAGCGCAGTCTGGATGTCTCCAGGAATGTGCCTTGGACGTGTTGATGGAGCCTCTGCCAGGCGGAGTGTTGGCCTTGGCTGCCAGTGCTCTGGGAAAGGGCTTGTGCCCTCCTAGGAAGAGGGAAGAGAGCCGGTCCCCGGAGCAGGCTGGGAGCCTGTGACAGCTGTAGGCCTTGTTGCTCCGTGATATTTTAAGCAGCGCCTTTTCAAACCAAGCTCTGAGCTAAACCTGCAGTAAGTGTGGTCGTCTCGGCAGGCTGTTTGCGTGCAAAAGGAGCAGGAGGTGGGAGGCTGTCAGGAGGCGCCCGCGCCGAGGGTGGGGTGAGTTTACCCACCTCGCTGTGCCGCGTCTGTCTGTGGGGAGTTAATGTCAGCTCTGCCCAGCGTGACAGACTGGCTGGTGCCAGGCTAAACCGTCCTGTTCCTGAACTCCTTGATGGAATCGCCGCTTAATTGCAGAGCTTGGGAAAATGCTCTGTTTAAAATCCAACCTAGTGGTTCCCCACATTTCAGCAGCAGAGGGTCTGTCTCTCCTGGTGTCACGAAGAGCTCAGATCCTCCCTCCAGGCCCAGATATTGTGGAAGGAGAGATATTATGGGATTTTTGTCACACCAGCTGCTCCTTTCACTACCCAGGTGGGTCTGGTCACACCCTGGGGACATGGTGCCTCCCTGCAGGGCTGGCTGGGAGGGCTCTGAGCTGGGCAGGGTCTACCTGTGTCGTTCCACCTCCTTTTCCCTGCTGGCCAGTGAACGTCCCACTGTGGGTACATGTGTCTGGGTGAGCTGTCTTCCCAGATCCTGCTCTAGGCAAGAGTCTGAAACAACTGGGGCCGTGGCTGTTGCTCAGCGCTGAGGGTTGGCGTGACCCCTGCCTTGACTTTCCCCTTGCATTTTGAGGACGGCACTGAGGTGGACATGAGTCTCCTGTGGATCTGAGGAGCATCTGTGAAACTGGCAGTCTGGCTTGCTCAGAGCAGAGCAGCTCCAGGCATCTGGGAGCAGTTGGGCTCAGTTTGCTTGTGGCTGAAGGGACAAACAGCTCTGGGGCTCTGCAGTGGTTGATTCTCACTGTGACAGTTTGTCCTTGCCCCCAGCAGGAGAAGCTTCTAGTCCCTTCACATGGCTTTCCTGCTGTGTCACGCCCTGTAGTGTCTGGCCTTAACATGGTAAAGGCCTGAGCACAAGATCTCATCACAGCAGTGGAAGCCACAGCTATGTGGCTTTTTTCCTAAAATTGCATCTCTCTTCCTTAGGTGTGCCTCCGAGCTGTGTCAGGGCTCAGGAATGCTTTCAGGACTCCACAGAAAGTAGGGATTCCTCCAGCTGCAGATGAATGGCAAGGGACCAGAGGGATCCTGCTGCGAAGTGGTGGCATGAGCAGGGATGCTCCCCAGCTGTTGCAGGACACTCAGTTTTCCCCCGGGAATGGAGTGTTCAGTCCTCAAGGCAGGCTGATTGCGGAGGCCAAAGTGTAGCTCAGTGTTTAAAAGCTCCCAAATCTTCTTCCCTTTCATTAAAAAAAACAAAACAAAAACACCTAGTAGGTCTTGCAAAAACATGCTAGGAGGTGACTCCTCCAGCTCCCAGCTGTGGGCGATGGAGGAAGATGAAGTTGCCTTCCTGAAACAGGTAACACTTCGCCTGATGTCACCACCATGCCGAGAGGCAGGGGCTGATCTGTCCTCCTGGGTGCTTCAGCTCAGCTGCCCCAGATCAAGACAAGTGTCCTCCCAGGTTCGGAAGTGTCCAAAATCGAAAGTGATTTGTTTAAAAATAACATTTTTTAAAAATTGGCATAAGGCAATTGTGGGAAGCCAGAAGGGGAATGACTTGGGCAGGAGTTCCTGGCTACCAGAGCCATGCTTGGATCCCGCCCCTCCCTGTTCATGCTGGCCTTGGCATCCTGGGCGATACACAGACGTAGTGCCAGTCCCCGTCCCAGTCCGGTAGTGCTGGTGCCCAGTTCCTCGCTGTAGGAGCACAACCAGAGAGAGCTGGGCTGGGAGCTGGAGCGGGTCGGCTGCCCCAGCCCTCTGGCACAGGGGGCTTGGGGAGAGCAGTGTGGGGTTAGCGAGGGGCAGGTTTAGGTCGTGCAGGGTGTGGGTCCCGTTACCTCCTGGGCACCCTGTCGTGGGGCTTCGCCCTGGGCTGGGCAGGGCACCACTTCCCGGCCAGCACATTCAGAGTGCATGTTTCTCCCCCTGCCAGCCTGCAGCTGTGGGCGAGTGCCAGCCCGGCTCCTCCTGGGCCTTTCCAAAGGCTGCCCGCAGCCCCCCGAGCTCACCCCTGCCCATCTGCTGCCTGCAGCCAGCCCCCCTCCTTGCCAGGGCTGGGTGCTGCCCTCTGAAACACAAGGCAGGAAGAAGCTGGTGGCAGCAGGGGTGACGGGAGCGTGGCTGGTGGCTCGTGTGCCCTGGCACTGGGCTATGGCTGAGCAGCGGGAGCCTGCAGCCGGCTGCCTCTGCCAACTCCCCATGCCCCCGGGAGCGAGGCCAGCACGTACGGCTCACAGTGAGGGTTTGTTGGAGCAGGCCCCTCTTAGCAGCTCCTCAGTGGTGCTTTGTGGTGGGCTGGAATAGGGGGAGAGGAGGAAAACCCAGAGATGAACCAGAAATGTCAAAAATGAGCCCAAAGCACCTGGGTGGTATGCAAGCCCCCTTCCCTGAGCTTTGCCTGGTGCTGGGCTGCCTTGGAGCTGGGCTTTAGAACCAGGAGCTGCTCTCTGTGCTGCCTGGGGAGGGGGCTCCCCCACAGCCCCCTCCCCAGCCTGGCCCAAGGCCGGTGCACTCATGGGGCTGTGCCAAGGAGCTGCCCTGGGGCAGCCTCGGCTGGGGTGCAGGGAGGGATGGGGACCCCGCAGAGGCTGCTGCTTCTCTTCTTCCTGCAATAAACTTCTGCAAATGTGTTTCTTCCAGCTTTCCCTCTCCCCCAGCCTGGTGCATTCATTTCTAACAGCAGCTTGGAAACACAGCAGCTGTTTTTCTTTGAAGTTAAAAGCTGGAAATTAACTTATTTTTAAAAAGTACACCCAGCATTTTGGAGGGAAGAAAAGGAGGGGCAACAGGTCCTCGTGCAGTGTATGAGCCAGCAGCAGGTCACTACTACAGCTGGGCTGGGGCCATGTCCCAGCTGAATGGTCACGTGCGAGTGCTGGGACATTCCCAAGCTCTCCGGAGCTGTGGCTGTCACCCCTGGCCCGCAGCCTCCCGCCTGCGCGCCGGGGGTTGTGTCTTGGGGGCCACAAAAGGTACCTTCAGACAGCGCGGGCTGGGGTCAGCACGTGGTACGCGACATCCTTCTGGCTTTGGCTCTGCAGAGAGCTCTGTACACACGCACATACGGCAAAGGGCTCAGCCACCTCTAAAAGCCTCTCAAAACCTTCTGCTTGGAGCTGCAGACCCACCGTGCGCCGGAGGCGGTTTTGGAGCAGGCTGTGGGAGAGGAGAGCCCACGCGCTGCCTGCTAACTGCTCCTCCTGCCTCCCTCCCTCATGGCTCACTCTGGTTTTCCTCTTGATCTTTGAGTCGCCTCGAGAGGAAGGTCAAACTCTAAAATAACTTTGTTGGTTTTTTTTTTTTTTCTTCCCCCTCCCCTGGTATTAAAACCTAATGCTCCAAGGAACTGTCATTGCTTGGACTGATGCAGCGTGTGTCACCGGGGCTGTTTGCAGTGCTGGGCCGGTGCCCGCTGCCTTCGCACAGAGCTGCCTGCTCCCGCGCTCCTCACCTGCATCACCTGGGCACCGGAGGAGCCAAACGGCCGGTCCCAGGCCAGCTGCGTGCTCCTGCCGTGGTGCAGAGGCTCCCGTCTGGGCTGTGCCCCGCACCATGCCACAGCCGAGGGGCAGTGCCAGGGGCTGGCATAGGGGAAGCCGCTTGGATGGGGACCGGGCTGGAGCCCAGCGCGGAGCCCGGCTGCTCCTCAGGCCGCCGTGATGTGCAGGAGCAGGTGCCGGACCCCGCTGCTGCCAAATCCGCCTCGGGAGCGGGGCGGCTTGGGGGTTAGCGCGGGGGCAAGAGAAAGCCGTGTCTGGCTTTTCGGTGCCACACGGACCCCGGGTCTGGTGCCGCCTGCGATGGGCAGCTCTGGCTCGGCTCTGGTCGGACGTGCCGCATCTTGCAGGTGCTGGCAGCACAGAGCAGGGCAAAGGCCTCTCTGCAAACGTAAACACTTGCTTTCTGCCGCCTATCTTGCCACTTTTTTTTTGATTTTTCTTTCAAAAGCACCTTTTATTCTATGGATCCTGCAGCGCTGCCTGCTCGCGTCCTCCCCCGGGGTGGCCTTGGACTCATTCTAGGTGTTAAAGTGACCGTCCTTGGCCTTCGGGAGTGCTTGGGGCGTCCCTGGAAGCTGCTCCAGGAGCTGGAGCCGGGAGTTCCCTGCTGTGGGCCAGGCCCTGCCAGGGAAGGACCCCACAACTCTCCCTCCTTGCTCTTTTGCTTTTTTTTTTTTTTCTTTTCTGATGATATGCTGGTTCTGCTCTTTGCACTTTTTTTTTTTATCAGTGAAGGGGAAGAGGATGGTGGTGGTTCGACAGCAGCAATAGCCTGTCCTCTCTTTGCCCCTCTATCTTTTCTATCAGGTTTGTCCAGGCCCTCCAAGTGTTATAGGAAGGGAAGAACCATGAGGATATCAAATGGTTTGAACTGATTTCTTAGGCTGGGAGAGGACTGCCAGCTCCCAGAGCATTTTTGCGGGTAGTTTTTTTGTGTCAGGGAGCCCCACGAGGGGCCAGCGTGTTGGGGACAGGACATATGCCACGTACCAGGGAAGGTGTGGACCTCTCCAAGCACAACCCTGCTGGGGATGCTCCTGCCTCTCCCCCTTCTCCCTCCCTGCTGTGCCTGGCCGGTTATGCAGTGCCCCTCTGGCAGGATGGCAGGTATCTTGCTGTGGGTTTTTTTTTTCCCTCGTCAGACCCAGCCAAACCTCAGGCAATATCCAGCTCTGAGTTTTCTGGTTGCATGTTACTGCCATGAAGGCAGCAGTGAGTTTTTTGGACTGAACTGTACAGCCCCGAGACAGGAGCCCACCTTAAGCGGGGAGCATGTGGGGACCCTGTGCTGCCTTCGCAGGCAGGGCCGTGCCTGCCTGGCTGGGCTCTGCCTGTCCCTACGTCTCGGCCAACATGCGGGGCTGTTTTGGTCTCCCTTGTGATTGTTTGCAAAACACAGAGGTCCTGGTGCGTGGAATATAGGCTGCCTGCATGCGCTCCTCCTCCCTGCCAGCTTGCTGCCTTCTCTCCCTGTTAAGTTGTTGGGAGGTGACTGCTCACGGCAGGGGCAGGGAGATGCACTAGGGTCCGTCAAGGTTTCAGTTCTTCCCTGCCCCAGTCAAGTTCCCAATGAACTGAGGGTTTCCTTCAGCTCTCTGGAGCCGTGCAGAGGTCTGGGGGCTGTCCCACCTCCTCCCCAGGAAATGTCAGTCTGTGATGGGCCAGAAACCCAGGGTCTGGCTATGTTGTGTTAGCCAGATGCTTCTCCTTCCCAAATCACCTACTTCCTAATCGCTGTGAAGGGGTTCGGTTTTGCAGAGGCAGGAGACACGGTGGCTTGGCAGAAGTCCCCTGAGAGGGGAGAGGGTCAGCGAGGCAGCAAGACTAACCCCCTCCTTGGCTGCAGAGCCCATCCCTGGGAGCAGCCGCTCCATTAATATCTCCCATTCATCCCTCTTCCCGTAATCCTGCCGCCGACTCTGGCGCTCAGCAGCTGGCTCTGATGTCACCCGGCGAGGATTTATTGCTGCTTCAGGTGGAGAGCAGCAGTCAGAGCAGATGAAATCTTATGCCAGGAGGAGCTTGTTCCCTGAGCAAATTGCTTGGAGAAAATCCGAGGAGACAGATGCAGCTCCATCAGATACGCACATGCCAGGCAGTGGGATCGCGTGTCTGCTGGCTCTGCGTGCTGTGGAAGGGAACCTGCTGCAGTTAACTCGCGTCTCCCTGGTGTCCTGGAGGGCTCTGGCAGCCGGAGCACTCAGATATTTCTGCAAACCTCTAATCTTTGCCTTTATGGACCTGAGGCAGAGGTTGTACCGAGCTTCCCAGGTGTAACACCTTCCTCATGCCCTCCTGCCTCTCTGGAGTGAGCAGGGTGATGTGCAGACACTGTTAGTTCGACCTCTCTGTAGTTATGGCTGTGAAAAGTCCCCTGGAGGTGCTGAGCTCTCTAAGTCAAGTCATTTACAGGGTTTTGGGGTGGCATGGCTGCCCTCTCAGCTCTCCTGGGCGCTTGGAGGCAGTTGTCTGGCTCTTCCCACAGCACATCGGTGCCTTCAGCTGCTCCTCATACAGCCTGGGCCGTGCCATGGGTCCCAGCTTCCCCTGCACCCTTGGGTGGGTGGGAACATCCCAAAGGACGAGGTTGAGACACACACACACATAAATACATGCGTGTCCTGCCCTGGAGTGACCCCAGCCCTGGGGAAGGGGTTTCCACCTGCCTGTGGTGTCTTCAAATCAGCTGCAATGCCTGAGGCTGCCCCAGTGTTCTTGGGGGCTCCCTGCCACCCTCTGCATGGTCCCACCGCCTACAAAACAGCGTCCCCCAACTCTGGGTGGCCCTCCCAGAGCAAGGTGGCCCCTCTCCATGCAGGGCTGTGGCTGGGAGAAGCAGCAAGTCCCAGCCTTGTTCCTGCCTTGGCCAGTCACATCCCAGACTGGGGCTCTGCCCCCTCCCAGCAGCCTGCCGGTCCCAGAGGAACCCTTTTGCCCCATCTGGGGGTAATTAACAGGCGTGTTGCAGCTCCCCACAGTGGGTTCCTGCTCCCGCTCATGCCTTGAGGCCTGTTTATGTGTTGTGGGAGCTGCTGAACCTGTTCAGGACGTTCTGCAGCCCAGGAGCCCTCGGGGACTGTGGCGGGTGTGAAGTGGGGTTAATGCGAAGGCTCACTTGCTTCCAACTGCCTTTTCGTGTCTCTCCTTGCAGGAAAGAACCTCTACACGAACGAATACGTAGCTATCAAATTGGTGAGTCCCTCTGTGGTCGCGGAGGGTGATGTTCAGGCCATCTGGGAGGAGATTGTTCCCCCTGCCCAGGTCGTTAGAGCAGTGGGTGGGTTGCAGCAGGGGACGGGTGGGTGGGTGGGTGCACAGGGGAGCTGTGCTCACTGCTAGGAATTGAGGGCAGGCAAAGCATCACACATCATTGCGGGTGGGCTGATCTGGGGCCCGGGGAGAGAAGAGCTGGGTCTTCACTTCTCCAGGTTCTCCCTGTGGCCTGCGCTGCGCTCAGCCAGTGGCAGCCCCAGAGAGACCTGCAGGAGAGGGAGGTGCCCGCTGCTCCCATTAGTGTCTACCCCAGCACCCGTCTCTCTGGAGGGGATGGATCTGCCTCCCATATGGGCTGGTTTTCTCTCATCATCCCCTGAGGCTCCATCTCCCATTTTACACCAGTTTTCTCAACCCCAAATGCTCTCAGTCCAGCTGTTGCCAGAATGTGAAGGAAGTGTCTGACACCCAGACCTCTGTAACATCCTGCTTCCTACAACGGTCTTAACTGTTCTCCTCTTCTCCAAGGAACCCATTAAATCCCGGGCCCCCCAGCTGCACCTGGAGTATCGGTTCTACAAACAGCTCGGCAATGCAGGTACGGGGCTGGGCTGAGCTGCCACGGGGAGCTGGCTGCCCAGGCAACACTGCTAGGAAGGGGAGGCTGCCTGTATATGTGACTCTGCATCTTCATTCCCAGCCTGAGCAACTCCTGCCCATCTGCTTGGCTGGGAGGGGCTGGTTTTACACAGAGCCACGTTTAATCTTTGATCCCTTTTTACTCGGTTCTTTCCCCCCACCTCCCCCGCAGCAGTCAGGGATGCAGATGGAGCTGCTGCCTTCACCCTCCTGCCAAGAGCAGAGCCAGGCTGTCTGCGGTGTGGAGGGAGGGCAGAGCAGAGACATCCCCCCATCTGCAGCCCCCTGTCCCAACTCCAGCTGTGGCGTGGCCGCGACAGCGTGGCCGGGTGCTGCTCAGCCCTGTTGCAGCCCCTCACAGCCTCTGCTCCATCTCTTGCAGAAGGAATTCCTCAGGTTTACTACTTTGGCCCCTGCGGGAAGTACAATGCCATGGTGTTGGAGCTGCTAGGACCCAGCCTAGAAGATCTCTTTGATCTGTGTGATCGGACCTTCACGCTCAAGACCGTCCTGATGATCGCGATCCAGCTGGTGAGCGCAGCACCCCTGCCTCGCCTGCTGCTCTGCACAGCTCAGCCCCGGGGGAGCGGGGTGATGCGTGGGCTCGGGGTTCAGGCTGCGTGGGGACCCCGCAGGGAGGGTGAGGGGACGGAGGGGTGAGCCACAGGCTGCAGGAGACACTGCTGGCGCATCCCAGACTGCCTCCCTCCGTACCTCGCCCTCTCCCTGAGGTAGGAGGGCTCTCCCCCTGCCCTCCACAGCCCCTCTGTGAGCACAAACGTGTGTCTGTCACTGTGTGTCCGAGCTGCAGCTGGACTGAGGTTGTTTCCCAGGGCTGGAAGACCCGTTGTGCCCATCCTTTCGATGCAGGGTGACACACAGGCTGAGGGGAGCAGGGGGGCTGCTCGGGGGTGAGGCTTTTGGAGCAGAGTCATGCCCCGGGGAGGGGAGTGCAGGACGTGTGGTGTGTCTCTGCCGAGGTGCTGACATCTCCTTCTGCCCCCAGATCACCCGGATGGAGTACGTCCACACCAAAAGCCTGATCTACAGAGACGTCAAGCCAGAGAACTTCTTGGTGGGGCGGCCGGGCAGCAAGCGGCAGCACACCATCCACATCATTGATTTTGGCCTGGCCAAAGAGTATATTGACCCCGAGACCAAAAAACACATCCCCTACCGAGAGCACAAGAGCCTGACAGGGACAGCACGCTACATGAGCATCAACACCCACCTCGGGAAAGGTGTGTGCACGCCACACGGCCAGCCCTGCCTCTTGGCCCAAAGGGAGAGGGAAGGGAACTGCAGGGTGCGAGCTCCCCGCTGCCAGAGGTGGGGCTGGGGACAGGCTGCCCCTCCTGCTCTTCAGCCTGGGGTGTTGGCAGGGGACTTGGGGAGCTGCGGGGTCTGGCGGGGACGGGGGCAGTGGCTGTAGTGGGAACATGACCATGTCTCATCTCTTCTCCATGCAGAACAAAGCCGCAGGGACGACCTGGAAGCATTAGGGCACATGTTTATGTACTTCCTCCGCGGGAGCCTCCCTTGGCAAGGCCTCAAGGTAACGGCCAGCTCCCGCTGTCCCTGGGCACAGCTGCCCCAGGAGTCTGGCTCTGCCCTGGCATGGGCGGTGTCGGGGACAGGGGGAAGCTTTGGCCCCTGGCGTGTTGGAAGGTGCCCTCTGCCACCTGCAGGGGCTGTTGCTGTGAGCTCTGTGCCGGGCCCTTGCTGTGCTGAGCAGCTGTAGGTGTCCCCTGCTCTCTGTCCCCCTGCTTTGCTGGCTGTCCTGGAGCCACGCTCCCTTGTGTTTGTCCTCCAGCCCTGCCCTGGGTGAGGGGATTCCCTGGGAATGAGCTCTGGCTGTTAAACTGGAAAAGGGGAACCAAGAAACCATCGTGGTCTGATGTCACCCAGTGCCATCCCGGCTCCTGGGGACGTGCCTGGCCCTCACGCTGACCTGCTCCTTGTCTCTGCCAGGCTGACACGCTAAAGGAGAGGTATCAGAAGATCGGCGACACCAAAAGAGCCACTCCAGTGGAGGTGCTCTGTGAGAACTTCCCAGGTGAGGGCACTCTGCATGGCCTGTCCCTGTCCCCAGAGCCCGCTGGCATCTCGTCCCCCAGCCCCAACTGAGCCCACTCTGTCCCACAGAGGAGATGGCCACGTACTTGCGCTACGTGCGGCGGCTGGATTTCTTTGAGAAGCCCGACTACGACTACCTGCGGAAGCTCTTCACAGACTTGTTCGAGAGGAACGGTTACGTGTTCGACTACGAATACGACTGGGCAGGGAAACCCCTGGTGAGTGCTGAGGGGGGGTGTGGGCAGAGGGTGCCTGGGGGCCGGTGGGGAGGCAGCAGGGTCTGCGGCAGCAGCCGGGAGGGATGCGGGTCAGCAGTCGTCCCTGCCATGCACATCCCTGCCCAAGAGACCAGCTCCACCAGTTCTCCCCAGACCCAGCAGCCAGCTCCAAACCGGGGGTGTCGTGCCGACAAGTTAAAGCTGTGACACAGAAATTTGAGGCTCCTGGAGCCAAGGGGAGCCCAGCAGTCAAGTTGGCACCCTGTGTTCTGCCTTGGGCACCCTCCAGGCCTCGCTGCAGCCAAATACCAAACTGCTGGGGTGGGGGTAGGAGCTGGGGTTGGGCCCTGATTCTGGGGCGTTTTGCACGTTTGGCTGGAGGTTGGATGGGGGGGCAGGAGAGTTCCTGTCCTGCTGCTGATGTTGTCTTTGTCCTGTCCCCAGCCCACCCCCATCGGCACGATGCACAGCGAGGTGCAGGTGCAGCCCCCGAACAGAGACAAAGCACAGCCACACACCAAACACCAGGTGAGCGGCGGCGCTGCCCCGGCCGGGGCACGGGACC